ATACTGGTGAGGTGGGGGGGTCATTTTCTGCTACAGAACAAGAAAAGCAACTAAGACACTAGCTTTTAACACTTTATTTAACATCTAATTGGAAGTTGTTGGTAGAGCAATTTTTTTAAAAGAAATAAAATTGTTTAAGTCACAGAAGTAAAAATGTCTCTGCTCACAGATGGCATGATCTTATAACTAGAAACACCCAACTAACACCTTCCCCCAAAAAAATGTTACAGTTAGTAAATGCAGCAGTTACAGAACAAAAAGTCACAAGCAAAAAAATTAGTTAAATTACCTAGGCTAACATTAAACAATCTGATTCAATTTTCAATAACATTAAAAATAATAAAATACTTAGGAATAAATTCAACCTAAGTAACCAAATGTTTGAACACTAAAAATAACAAAACATTGCTAAAAGAAACTAAAGACATAAATAAATGAAAAAACATTACATATTTGTGAATAGGTAGCCTTAATATCGTTAAAAACAATACTGCCCAAAGTGATCTACAGATATAATGCAATCCATACTAAAATATTAATTTTTTTCATAAATTAGAAAATCCATTCCAAAATTGATATGGCTGTATACCCAGCACTTGGGAGGCTGAAGCAGAAGGATTGCTGTGAGTCTGAGGCCAGCCTAGGCTACAGAGTAAGTTCAAGGACAGCCTGAACTACATAGTGAGATGCTGTTTCCAAAAACCTAAAATTCATATGGAATCTCAAGAGACACCAATAGCTATAGTAAGCCTGAGAAAAGAAGAGCCATCTGAAGGACTCATACTTCTTGACTTCAAAATTCACTGCAAAGTTATAGAAATCAAAACAACTTGAAGCTAGCTTGCCGAGAAACAGACCCCAAAAGTAAATCCTCACACACATGGGCAGTTAAATTCTGACACAAGTACCTGGATCATTCAGTGGGAAAAGGACATTCTTTTTGTAAAACTGACTGGGGGAAAACAATATCTGCATGAAGAAAAATGAAGGTGGATCCAAACCTTACACAATATACAAAAATAATACAAAATGGCTCAAAGATCTAAACATAAAGGCTAAAACTATAAAACTCTGAGATAGAAAACCGGGAAAGGAATCTCTGTAACATTGGATTTGACTGTGATTTCTTGAATATGGCACCAAAAGCACAGCCAACAAAAGAAAGAACAGATAAACTGACCACATCAAAATTAAAAATTTGTGTATCAAAGGCCACAGTCATGAGACCACGTGAGTACAAAGACAACCCACATGATGGGGGGAAATATTTGTAAATCATATATCTGATATTGGACTCATACTCAGCATACATAAATAATTCCTATAACTACAATAACAAACTGTTTTTCAAAATGGGTAAAGGACTTGAAGATACATTTCTCCCAGAAAGGATATTCAGATGGCAAATAATCACATGAAAAAAATGCTCAATCTCATTAGTTATTAGAGCACATCAAAACCACAATGACCAGGGACATACCACTTCACATCCATTAGCCTATCACTAAATAAATTATGTACATTCATCTATATATACATACATAAATATATAACTAAAGAGTAAAAACATAGAGAAAATAACAACTGTTGCTGAGGATTTAGAGAAATTAGAATCCTTGTGTATTGCTGATAAGAATATAAAAAGGTGCAGGACTGTGAAAAACAATGTAATAGTTCCTGAAAAAGTTCAACACAGAATTATCATATGCAGCAATACTACTCCTGATCCAGCAATTCCACTCCTACATATATAACCAAACGAACTGACATAAAGAATTCAAACAGTATGTTTACACCAGTGTTCACAGAAGCATTAGCCACAGCAGCCAATAGGCAAAAACACTCGATGTCCACCAACAGCTGAATGGATGAACAAAATGTGGTATATACATGCAACGGAATTTTCAGCATTGGCAGTGAATGACTTTCTGATATATATGCTACCACATGAATGAACCATCAAAACATTATGCTAAGCTACATAAATTAGATGCAAAAGGACAACTGTTGTATACATCCACTAATACGAGACAAATTCATAAGAAGCAGAACAGAGATTGTCACAGCAAGGTGGACAGAGGAGGGAATGGAGATCATCATTTAATGAACCCTAGAGGTTATCTAGGATGATGAAAATATGTCCAGAAATGGATAGTGAGAAAAGTCATACAATATTGCAAATGTACTTAATGCCATGGGATTGTACACTTAAAGGGCCTCGAAATGGTACATTTTCTATTATTTATATTTTACTACAAAGAAAAAAATAGGCAGCCAGACATTTATTGAAAGTATCAGCAACACAAATTTAAATTTTTTCTTCCCTCTTTCTACTTCTTCCTGAGTCCATTATGACAACTTACACTCTTTCAGAAAATCAAATATTCCTTGGGTACTTTTCAAGTTTGTTACCATTTAGTGGAATTTTACCCTCCCTTTCGATATCACTATATCCTCTAATTCCTCTTTTTCATGTGCTTATGTTTCTCTTTAATTCTTAATTTGTTTGCTAGCAACTTGTCTGTCATGCTACTTTTTAAAATTTTTAAGCCCTGTTATAACCTGTTTGCTTTATGTTAGGCATGCATTATTTTCTAATTACTGTATTAAATAAGTATGTGCAGATCATTCTTTGTTTTAAAATAAGGGGATTGAAAGCCATGCATTTTCTCTGACTACTTTGGTCAAACTTACAGATTTTGGGGGCTGGAGATTTAGCTCAGGGGCAAAGTGTCTGCCTGGCAAGCGCAAGGTCGTGAGTTCGATTCCTGGTATCAAAAGAAAAACAAAAAACAAACTTACAGATTTTGTTACTGAGGCGCCTCACTGTCAGTACTGTCCAATTCGTTCTAATTATGCTTCTTATTTCCTCCTACACCTAACAATCATTCAAGTGAATGTTTTTCATTAATTTTGTTCTTACTTTTCTAGTGCTTAGAGCTTTACTTCCTCTTTTATTCATGAATAGTGTTGTAGTTGAATGTAACCTGTGAGGTTTTGATGAAGGGAAAAGAGAAAAGTTTTATGTTTACTGCCGAATCTCAGAAGGAGCCAAAGTTGGATGATGCAGCAATAGAAGGGTGATCTCTGTGCTTACAAATTTCTTCACCACGATGAAGTGGTCACCAAGAGTTGACTGTGGGGTATCCCCATACTTTGCCTGGCAGAGACATCATGCTAAGGACAATCAGTGAGAAGTTGCAGCTCTGGCCCAGGACACTTGAAGAGCCAGCTATGCCTGACCCCAACCCCTCTCTCCCTCAGAATGAAAAAGTGTCAGTGGATTCAAGTGAAGTCTCTCCTACTCCCTCCCAGGCAAGCATATGTTATGCATAAGAGGAGTCACGAATGCAATGGATCTTTCTTTGGATCCATATTTATGCAGTAGAAAGTCTGGGGTTTGGGGCATGTGTGCGGCTATAAACATTCCTAGTGTCAGACGCAGGTTCCTCTTTCCTTTTATGCCCTTGGCCTTTCCATGTGATTCCCTGATGGTAGGTCCAGGCACTGGAGTCCCTCATTTGTATACTTTTTCCATGCTCCATCCTACACTTTACTCTTTTCTCCCACTCAGAACAACAATCTATTGGCAAAGTATTCATTACAGGACAGGCTAATGTTTCCTCTTCAGACGTGTGCATATAATCTAAGGATATGAAACTAAACTCATGGGAAGCAAGACCATTATAGAATGGGCTCAGCCTACAAGCCCAGCTTCAGTTGAGCTGCAGAACCAGGCTGCACTCCTACCAGAACAGCAGATGTCCCTGGGTCACTAGAGCTCACTGTCAGTAGTATCTCACATCTGAAAATAAATCCAGCCTTAGACAGCTGACCACATATGTGCTTCTGAAACTATGGCAACAGAAAGTCCCTTTGCCTCTGCGTCCCAATTAAAAGTGTTCTGTTGGCTGCAATTGGGATGTTTGGTCTCTAAAACTAATACATCAAAGCAGTCACATAAGCCTCAAATGTCACCATCATACAAACTGACATTTCCCGTACAAGCAGCTAATGAGTGGCCAGAGCAAAGAGTGGATAAAGCTGGCTAAATCCCCTTTGGATCTTTTTCTCCGTGCTCCATTCCACTCAAGGCTGGACAACTAGTTAAATGTTGCAGGGATGGGGGGAGAAAAGATGGTAGAAATTTGAAGTTGAGCATCCAGAAGCATAGAGGTGCTTCTACCAGAAATGGAGAGGAAATACTTGGGGTAAGTTTCATAGAAAAAATGATGCATGGTGAGAAATAAATGAGTTCAAGTCTGCTCGACTAGGGGAGCCAGGTGTCTGGCACTGGATGAAGAACACGATGTTTGAGTTTTCAGTCTGATTTTTTTTTTTAAAGAAGGGAATTAACTAGTAACAGGGATGTCTCTCCGATCATTACACTTGCAGATTTGCTTTATCTTTTTCTCTGATTGATTTTTAATCAGCAATAACATGGAACAACTCAGCATTTAGTTTCTCCTCTATTGAGTATAAAATGATCTATAAAGAAACATTTAAGACGGTGCCACTGAAAAGGCGCTGCAGACTTCTCATCGTGTGAAAAATCTTGGAGCAATGCAAATCATTTCACTCTCTAATAATCTGTGTGCTAATATAGTCAGTACTATTTGGTGATGTAAAATTTTATTTCCCAGATCAAGATACATATGCATCTATTTCTTTTTTACTACATCAGAGGAATAACAGGAAGCCCAACTTATGGCCCTTAATCAAGTTAGAGGGCAGGTAGTTGCAAATATTCATTCAGCAGTTCAGTTGTGTCAAATGAAGTTCATGCAATTCTCTGGGCCAAATGGTCATCTCGAGTTGACAAGCAGACTGTTCTGCCTCTGATGTGCCATCCAAGTTCTAGGCAAAAGGAAGAGAATAATTGGAAAAAATGATATATTCACTGAATCTTTCCTGCTATAAGGAAACCTTCTCATACATACAGTTTATGATTTCTACTTTCATCTTGTTAGCCAGATCTATGTCATATGGTCATCTCCGCTATGAAGAAACCTGGGGAATGTGGCCTTTTAATGGACACAACCTCATCTTTCACCTGGAGTTCTGTTCATAACAAAGACAAGAACATAGGTGAGTATGCAGCTGTCATCTCACTCTCTCCATCCAACTCACTTTGGAGGTTTTACATTTTTATGTCAGTCATTAGGCAGCCCTCAGGCTAGGGGTTCAAGAGGCCAGTCATGCAGGAGCTATCATTAAAACAAAAAAGCTCATGTAAAAAGCTGTGTTTAGCACATATGGTGGTGCTTGCTGGTAATCTCAGCAATCTGGGAGTCTGAGGCAGGAGGACTGCAAGTTCTAACCCAGCCTGGATGACTTAGCAACTTAGAGACACCTTATCTCAAAATGAAAAAGACAGCTAAGGATTGTAGCTGAGGGCTACAATTTAGTGACTTAATAATATCCTATCTCCAAATTTAAAAAGGGTTGAGGATGTCACTCAGGATGCAATCCTGACTTCAGTGCCTGGTACTGAAAGAAAAAATGAGATCAAGTTATGGCTGTGACCCTGGACAACTAAGTCAGTTACTTCTGTTTCTCATGAGCAAAATGAGAGAACATAAATGTCAGGATGAAGATGCTGACATTCTGTATTTTCATTCTAGAGCCTTCCCTGATAGATATCCAAGTTATGCTGTGCTGCACGCCTGGACCCTGGGCCCCACCGTTGCTCCTGAGAGACAAAGGAGCATTGTTAAAGTATCCATCCAGGACCTAAGAGCAGCATCGCTTCAAGAATCATGCTAACTTGAAGAAATAATAATACCTCCTTCCAGTCCCTATAAGGAAAATACCACAGGGCACAGTGCTTCTCAGGTGACATAAATGCTCCATTTCCACAAGGCTTCTGGGGCTGTTCAAGATTAATGCACGTGTGTGCATCCAAGGTGAAAGGTCACCCATGGAAGTCAAAGGTGAGAGAAACCCTCGAAGGAGAGACATCCAACAGATGTCTCCAGATACCGTAGTGGGAAACTCTGCTGCCATGACTGCACCCAGACTTCCTGGAATACTGGCGGAAGTGAGAGAAGAAAAAGATAGCAGGTGAGAAGAGAGGAATAGGAAAGGCTTAGGGTAAGTAGGAGTCCTTGCCCAAGTCTGCAACACTCTGGAGTCCACAGTGGTTTCTTTGATAAATTCATACCACCAAAGAGGGGAAATTCCTCCTACTCCCTCCCCCCAGAAATATTGTCCTTTCTTAGCTAAACAAATGGGAAGAGGAAGAATGTTCTGGTTGTTATGTGCACAAGAGGGACCTATTATACTTTGCACATGAGATTTGTTGTACAAGTTACATCATTGTGAGCAAAGCCAGTTCAGTCCCGAGAACTTCACCTCTACTTCTTCCTTTCAGCTCTATCTACCCATCCCTCACTGCATCAAATTTACTGGTGAATAGAGAATTTTAGTAGCTGCCTCTGGTTAGCTGACAAATTGAGCTTTAAAAGGCATCTATGATTTTATATCAGTCACTAAATTCTTTAGACAGATAATACTAGAAAAACTTGGTCTCTGTTGGAAATAATTCAGAAAAGAGTACCACAACTAAAAGAATAAAAAGTGCGCCTTTCTCATGTAAATTCCACACAAGCTAGAACTAGATCAACCAAAGAGCCTGAGATGTCTGAAATTTTGAAAAATCAGAATGATTTTAAAGGCCTGTATTTTTCTTTGATAAAAAGGAAACTTTGTCTGGGTCCAAAAATCTTCACCTTTTCTGGGTCCATTTGTCACAGCTCTTACCAAAAGAAACCACAAAAAAATTCAGAATACATATGAGAAAATAAGAATGACACAAGCCTGAGAGTTTTAACTTCTAATATTAACTGAATTTGTGTGTGTGAGCTAGGAACTGAACTCAGGACCTTGTACTTGCCAGGCAGGCACTTGTGCCACTGAGCTAGATCCCCAGCCCCTTACCTGCATTTTTAAAGTCTCAAAATCTTTGAAATATTTGTAATTCATCTTTTACCTGGTAAAATTTTATAAGTCATATTATGGTTATATCACAGATAAATTTGTAAGTTTAGGTCACAGGTATATAAAATTTTATAAGGATTATGTCACATAATCCTCTAGTATATAAAAAAGCACCTGCAAAATCAATGAGAGAGGACCAACAATGCAACAGAATAAAAAGCTGGCAAAGGCTGGGCACTGACTGAATGCCAGCTCCCTGGCTGCTCACTGAATGGGTGACACAAATAGGTAGCAAACAGAAGCAAATACTCAAACAGGAGCATCTCAGGAGTTCTGGGGTAAAACGAAGACATACTTTCCTTCCTTAGGTCCAACTTTCCCTTCAAAAAAACAATTTTAGTATACTGGTCATTTTATAGAAATTACCCATCTCATACTACCCTGACCCAAATCACAAGTGAAAATGTAAGCTAAAAATTAAAGGACAGTACCTGCTTATTTGGTGTGATTTTAGGTTCATACTAGTCAGAAAAATGCTTCCTATGCTGTCCGCTACTGCCTGCTCTCCTACCATTAGATTCCTGGTCACTTGCCTTGCAGATTTCTCTACTTCCAAAGCTAATAGACATGGGAGAAATCTCCTTGGAGCCCTCTCATTAATTATAATTGGGTATGAGTAATAGCAGCAATTTCATAACCTTGTACGAATTTTGCCATTTACAAGATACTGTTACAACAAGATCTATTGGATCTCGCCAATAACCTCTAAAATAAGGAGTATGATTGAAATTATGGAGATATCTCATCAGTAATGACAGCACTACTCAAGCTCAGGTTTCTGATTCTAAATCCTGAACATTTTCCAGAATATTATGCTGTATGAAGGAATGATTGTGAAGTCCTTTCTTGAGAGAACATTCTGGCAGGGGGCAAGGAAAGGAAAAAAGAAGTAAGTCATCAACTCCTGGAGCTGTTAAGACTAAAGGAAGAGAAAGAGAGAGACTGCACCCATCAAATAACAAAATAAACAACACAGCAAAACAGGAGTGGACAGGTGTATGACCGACGCATTAACCTTAAAGAAGTTAAACAATTAGATAATACTACACTTTTATCAGAATGGCCAGTATTCAAAACACTAACAACACCAAATGTTGGTGATGATTAGAATAACAGAAACTCCAGTTCACTACTAGTGAGAATGCAGAATGGTACAGCCACTTTGGAAGGCAGTTTGGCAGGTTCTCACAAACTAAACCCACTCTTACCACATAGTCCGCACTTGCACTCCTTGGTATTTATCCAAATGAACTGAAAACTTACGTCCACACAAAAACCCACACATGGATATTCATAGCAGCTTTATTTGTAATTGCCAGAACTTGAAAGCAACCAAGATGTCCTTCAGTAGGTGAATGAATGAATAAATTGTGATATATCCAGACAAAAACATATTATGCAAAGCTAAAATAAAATGCTCTATCAAGCCATGAAAAATCTGGAGGAACCTCAAATATATATTATACAAGAAAGCCAACCTGAAAAGGGTACAGGCTGTATAATTCCAACCTTTTGTTTTGAGACAGGGTCTCACTGTGTAGTTCAGGCTGGCCTAGAGTTCACTATGTAGCCCAAGCTGGTCTCAAACATACAGTGATCCTTCAGCCTCAGCCTCCCAAGTGCCAGGATTTTAGGCATACGCCACCACCCGAGCTCAACTTCTTTTTTGGCAAAGGCGAAACTATAAAAACAACAAAAAGAAAGGGCTTGCCTGAGATAAAGAGGAGGAAGGATGAATAGGCAGAGCACATTTCAAGGAAATGAAACTATTCTGCCTGACACTGCAATGGTAGACATATCATCATATATTTGTCAAAACCCACAGAAAGTCCTCCAGTAAACTATGGACTTTGAGGGGGAAAATGATGTGTTAATGTAGGGTCATCAGTTATAACAAATGTACTGCTCTCGGAGATATTGATAACACTGATAATGAAGAAGGTGGTGTGGAATAGTGGGATAGACATATCTGGGAAAATACTTTTCCCTCAGTGTTGTTGTACACCTAAAACTGCTCTTAAAAATCATTAATTAAAGGCAACTTACTGATCTTTAAATGAACACAGGTATTTCTAATCTCTTCTTACCCTCCAAGAAACTGAACACCTCAATGTTGCTCCAAGAGAGATCACCAGGGATTTCTGAGCATCAACTAAAGAATACAAACATGTCAACTTCCCTGCGTTCTCACAAAGGTATATTATGCTCAGGGTGTTACCTGAATTTAAATTTCAACAGCTGCATCTTCATTTCTACAAATTCTCTTCAGCTGTCTTGATTCCTTCTTTTCTCATATTCTCACTTCCTTCCATTCTAACTTGGATGAAAGTGCTCCCCTACTTATTCACAGCTTTGCTTTCTGTGGTTTCAACCCTGCTCTAAAAATATTAAATGGAAACTTCCAGAAACAAATAATCCATAAGTTTTAAATGGTATTCTGTCCTAGTAGTAATGGGATCTTACACTATCTTGCTCCTTCCCCCACCCAGAACATGAATCTGCCCCTTGTCCAGAGTATCCATGCTTTGTATGCTACCCACCAGTCACTTACTACCTGTCTTTTTTATCAGATTGACTCTGACAGTATCACAGTGCTTTTTCAGTGATGGCCTCATGATACAAGAGGAGTGCTAGCAGTGTGAAAATGCCAGAGGAAAGCTTTAGGTGAAAAGGTGAAAGTACTACAAGATATGGTAAGAGAAAGAGACTACATTCATATAATGTTTATCACAGTATATTGTCATAATTATTCAATCTTAGTACCAGCTATTAGTTCTCTTATTGTGGGTAATTTATGAATTAATGTTCATCACAGGCACAGATGTATGTACAGGGGGAAAGTTGTATAATAGTATTATTCCTGATTTCAGGCCTCTACTGGGGGTCTTAGAATAGACCTTTGACAGAGAAGCAAGGACTACTGTACCCATTTCATGGTCTCCACTTAAATGCCTCTGTCACTGACAAGGACTTGCTCATCTCCAAGTTCCACTGGCTGCTTGGCTTCCAGCTTAACCCAGCCAGCTGTGCCTTCTTCCTGGACATGACCAGCTGGAACTTACAAGCAGCAATGGGTGTCTGTTATGACTTTCATCAGTGTGCCCTCTACATCCTTTGATGTCACCATAGGAGAAGGGGAGTCAGTACCTCCTGATACTCAGTTTGCAAAACCATGGCAGGTGCAGCGTTCTGGAGCAGAAGTCTGGCCTCCACGGCTTTGTCTTAAATATGTCGGGGGAGACCAATTTGGACATGTGAATACGGTGATGGTGAGATAAGAGCCCCAAGAGATTGCAGCTGCCAGCGTCCAGATGTGCGGCCCCAGAAGAGCAGGAACGTATCAGGGACAGTGGCAGATGCACACTGCGACAGGACCCTAGTATGGAGCTGACATCTGGGTGATTCTCAGTGTGGGGGTGGGTGGACTTTTAGGAGTAACACAGCAGCTGTCATGTTTTGAGACGGAGTTCAACACACAGCTGCATCGCAAGGTAGAAGGAAACTTCAACCCCTTTTCCTCTCCCCCAAAGAACCGACAATCAGATGAAAACAACTTAAAACACCCTGGGGGTTCCAGGTTCAACTCAATCAGCAAAAACACATGGGCTCTTGCTCCTGACCAAACCAAGCAAGATCAGGATAGATTCTTACAGAACTCTGTAAATGTGTCCCCCAGCAGTCACCCAAGCAACTTATCAGTAGTAGTGACTTGGAGTAAGGTAGGTGCCCTCAGAAAAGAGGAGAAGGAGTAGGTGGTGGGCCTTGCGGTCTGCGCCACTCTTCATAGCAAAATAGACTCCTAGACTGCCACTCCCAGAGGCAAATCTTTGAGACTGCTTAGCTCGCCTGAGAATAGCAACAACACAAAAGCCCTCTCCCCTCCCACCCTCACCCTACCCCATGTCCTGTGGATGGCGCTCTGTCCACATTTCCAATGCATTTCTGTCTCTCTATTCTGGTTTGGGTACTGAAACATTTAGCACTAAAAAAAAAAAAGTATCAAATTTTTAAAATATAAATAAATAAATAAATCCCTCTGTTGTCAGAAGTTCCTAGGGTCCCAACTCTTCTGTCTCTCTTGCCTAATGACTCTCGGACATGACAGCTCATTTTCTTGCGCCTCTTGTAATTTGGGCTTTGAGTTCAGCTCTAGTGGGGCTCTGTCTGCGCAAACATCAGAGGGTCTGAGTGAAGGTCTGTGTGGCTCTCTAAAGTAGTTCCGTCCTTGCTTCTGAGTGTGTGCTTGCCTGCCGTCGGTGGGTGCTCATTAGGAGCTCCTTAGACGGCACGAGCAGTATACATTAGAAACCCAAAGTGCTGCAAAGAGTTCATTATTAATAGAAGAAAGATAACAGGAAACAGGGAGATTGAACTTTTGTACATAGGAAGGACCAAGATAGAGGAGTGAGGGAAGGGAGAAGGGGACTTAAGAAGAATTAAGATGTGTTCTGTGCATGTACCAACTCCCTGCTGTGAATGCAGTCATTACGTACTGCAAACATGTGCTAATAAAAATTACAATTAAGGGGGCCGGGGATATAGCTCAGGGGCACAGCACCTGCCTGGCAAGCATGAGGCTCTGAGTTAGATTCCTGGTGCCAAAAAAATTTTAAATTAAACAAAGAAACTTTACCCCACACTCAAAACTCAAGAAGAAACATGAACCGCACTGCAGTGTGTCTTGCAGAAAGAAGATTTTTTTCCCATCTATCCATTTCCCCAAAGGGGTAGCCTGTGAGGGTCTTAAAGTTTTAGTGGGCTCAGTTCCAACTCCCTGCCATACAATCACTTAGAACCTTTCTCCTGCCTCCACAGAAGCATTAAAACCCTAATTCCTCATGTAGAAGCAACAAACTGTAGCCTCCTCCAGCTTGCTAGACTGTCAGGTCTCCCCGCTAGTTCCCTCTAGTTTTGGCTTTTAAAGGATCCTTCTTCTGTTGCTAGGGATTTAAAAGGATGTTTGTTCAGGTTACATTTTGTTATTTCTTGTGATAATGTATAATGATTATGAATAAAAATTTAGAGGCTAATATTTCTTGGAAATTACTCTTAACTCTACATGGGTATAAAATAACTACTTTATGTGTGGTCCCTGAAACTGTTATTATGTACATTGAAAGCGTCCAATGTGAGGCGGTTGAACAGCCGCTCCCCATACCACTGTGAGCATAGATGTAACAATAAAGAATAAAATCTACTTGTGGAACATAAAATAAATGGATGTTTTATATTCTAGCCAGTATTTCCAAGTACTTTGTAGTAGGAAGGTTTTTAGACCACCATAATACTGGAGATGGAGCTATTAGTCACGTAGATACCTTTTCCCACTGAATCTTCATCCCCACCTTGCAAGATAGATAACCGCACTCCCATTACACCAATACAAAACTTGAGATGTGGGGACGTTAAATAATTTTCTCAAGGCCACACAGTTAATGCTATCTGACCCCGAAGACAGTTTTCTCTCCCTCACTCCTATTACCTCTCTGAAGAGCCAGCCTAGTTCCTCTACTGTGTCTAAAAGGAGTCCAAAACTTGTGAAGAGTTTTACACTGAAGAGTCCTTTGAGTGTTCTCCTTGAAGAGCATTCTAAAAAAAAATCAACTTCTGGCAAGATTCCACTAGTAATTATAAGGGTGAATAGTGAGCCAGAGAACTATGAAGGCAGAGTGCAGCTTGACATCACCTTTGGGGAAACCATCAGGAGTCCTTGGACAGACTTGCGTCTGTGCCATACAAAGAGTGTGACAGGCAGCCCTTCCCTCCCCAGGCAGTGGGTCTCATTTTGACCATGGGGACAGGGGGGGCCGGTCAGCAGAAGGTCTGGCGGTTGGCTCTGCCTGAAATCTGTAGGAGAAAGTGGACACGGGCGAGGTTAATGACCATGCTGAGGAATCACGAAGCCAGTATCGCTGGGGCAGAAACTGGCCCAAGGCCAGACACAAAATATAGCCATAGTTGGAGCCTTCCCAAGTAGAAAAAGGGTATTAGTGGAATCACATCCATCACAATGATTAATGCTGAAAACTAAGCTTTTTTTATTATAAAAAAGGCTCAAAAGAGTGTAGTAACAGGGAGGAAGAAGAGTTCCAGTTTTGCAGGAAATAATGAACCAAAGAGGGACCGTAAATATTCAGGATGTAATTGGAAAATCAGAAGCTTGGATGTCACATATAGCACACCCAAACACCGCTTATGCAAAGAAAGGGTGCCAGAAAGCAAATGTGCCTGCAGATGGCCCATCAGGAAGCAGCAGGTAGCCCCTGGGCACTGCAAGGGCAGCCAAGCCAAGGGACAGGACGAGGACAGCACAGGTGAGCGTGAGCTGAGAACAAGGCTCTCACCATCCACCATCCTCCCAGAGCTCAAAGTTGGCAAGAGCAGGGCAGAGAAGAAGCCATCTTGGAGCGCCAGAGCCTTTAAAAATCTTCCATCCTACACCAGACAGGACAGAGAGACGAGCTGACCAGGTAGAAGATGTGAGTCTAAAAAGAAATTGCAAAGCCCCAGTACTGGTTCAAAGTAAAAGCACGCAGACTGAGTGATACCTCTTTTGTGAAGCCAAGCTAAATGACAGATTGGTCAGTGATGAAGGAGATGCAGAAGATCAAAAAGAAGGAAACTACCCCGGAGAAAATCAGAAGGTGTTCAGGAGGCCTTTGTGATGTGACAGTTACCACTGACATGGAACCGAACCAGAGCAGGACCGAGAGTGTCCTTACTTATTCCTGGACTTCCCAGATGGGAACCGATCATTAAGTAATTGTTCTCATCCTGCTGTTTTGTAGAAATAACTTCCAAAAGAAGAGAGGCAGTTATATATGTTTTATAATTATTTTAGCATGTCTGCTTCCAAAAAGAGATAGGAGAAACTACAATACGAAAGCACGAGGCATTTCAGGGACCATGTTTGGCACAGACTGGCTCAATCTTTACCAAACCCATTTCTTCTTCCTCCTAGCCAGGAGGTAGAAAACACTCCCCACTTCCCTTGCAGTTAGATGTGACTGCTCTTACAAGTAGTGACAACTGCCTTCCAGCCCATAGCATGAATGTAAAACCATGAATGTCACTTCCAGGGTGACACATGGACGTCTTCTGGGCATGAGCATCCTTGCTCTCCTTTCAGTCTCTGGCTAAATGAGGGGGATCCTGTGGCCTGCGTGTGGTGTGACCCTGAATCCATGCACGTCTGCTTTTATGAGAACTGCCTGATGGTTAAGAACACTCATTTGTGCTTTATATAAGAAATTCCTACTGTGAAGAGCCACTGAGATTCGAGAGCCTGTTTGTTACAGCTACTAGCACTAGCCTACTTAATACAGAAATGGGCAGCGGGAAGGGGAATATAGACATAGAAACCTAAAATACACAGCCCTGGCTTAGCAGTGAGGTGGCAGGCAGAGAAGAAATTGTTAGCAGAGAACAGATGGAGACTCATGATTTTCCGTAGCAAAACACTAAAAATGTTACCTGCCATTGCTTGGGAGGCGTATTATGCACCAGCTGAAACTAGCTCTAGACAAGTAGTTGGGAAAAGATTCAGATTTGTGTTCTGCTTTTAATAAGGAGAAATAGGGGTAAGAGAGAGAGAAATAGATATTAAATTAGGGGCTTCAGAGAATCAGAAAAATCAACTATTTCAAGACCCCAAACGGTGATACATAAGACCGGAAGGAAAATGGCTTGCAACTAAGGCCATGGCTAAGGCCTCGGGTCATGACATCCATACCGTGGCGGCATCCCTGTCCCAACTTTGGGCCTCTTCAGTCTAGCACCCCTCTAGCACTTGCAGGCCCCTCACGGAGATACCAGGGCCTCTGACTCCCTAGACATTACACATGGACCCTGGAGGCCTAGAGAAATATCTCAGGCTCAGCTTCACAACACTTCCCTCAGCCACATCGAATCTAGAGCCCGTCCTCCCTCATCACCATGTGGCTAGGCATGGAATAAAGACGTTCCCTGGATAATCCTCTAAACATTTCCAAAGGTTTCTCTCACAGCTGACTGTGCTTTGTATCCTCAACTCTTTCTCCCCACATCGGCTGGGATTCCTTCCCCTTCTTCCCATCTGCAAGGAATCATCTAAGTTTTCCAATATATCTAGGCCCATCTAGACTACAAGATCCCTGATAGTAAGAATTCACCATCATGCCTTCTGTACCAACCCAGAATTATCACTGGATGTGGTGGTGCACACCTATAATCCCAGCACTCGGGGTGCTGAAACAAGAGGATTGTAAATTCAAGCCCAGCCTGGGAAACAGCAATTTAACAAGACTGTCTCAGAATTTTAAAAAATAAAATAAAATAAAAAGAGGGCTAGGAATGTAGCTCAGTGTAAAGTTTCTGGGTTCAGGCCCTAGTTTTGAAAAAAAAAAAATATATATATATATATATATTTGGGTTTTGGGGGGGAAGGAATTTTTTTTTCTCTTTGGTTTTGATAAAATTGGGATGTGGGAGTTTTTAAATGCAATAGCCCTCAGCTTGCCCCTCTTGGGGCAGCTATTTAAGAGGGGGTGACCCATCAGGTGGGGTGCTCCCCCCATGAGAGACCTCTTTCCTCTGGCCCCTCCCTTTTTCTATGTGGAATTAAGATGCTGTAACTTTTTGAAACCTCATTTTTTTCATTTTTTTATTTGGGTAGGTTTTGAGGTCCAGACCATTTTTATCCCCTGGGGAGAGTTATTCAGGGAGAAGGGAGAGGAGGAGGGACTTTCCTCTCCCCCTTAACCTTTAGCTTCTTGAAAATGGGCCCTCGCCTAATAAATCTCCTGTTTTATAAATTGCGAAGATCTCGAGAGTGACTTGGGCTGGCCACAAGGATGCGGCCGCGCGGGAAGCCCCGGCTCCCTGCCCCAGGGGTCCATCGCTTCGGCCCGCCTGCCTGCTTCCTGGTCTGCTGCCTCTGCCCCGCCCCCTCCCTGCCCCCGGTTTGCCAGCCTGAGGCCAGGGGCAGCTGCCCCGACTGTGGCCTTCGCAGGTCTCTTGGTGCCTTAAATTTCCCCATGTGGGAAAGGGCTCATAGGGGCACTGGCCCCTTCACCGGGATGGCCCCCAGCTTCTAATTTAATAACACGCGTCCCACTGCAGATACACTTGGTGGTTCTCAGACACTGCTTACAGTGGGTTCTTTACCTTAAAACACCTTTAATCATATAAACATTTAACAGTCTAAAAAAGAATTCAGAAGTCACAGGGCTCATCACAAGCCCCTGTGATGGCCCAGTGGGTTTGGGGGAGCGGGGGCGGCTTGGCCTGGGGGTACCACCTGGACAGGGTGAAGGCCTGCGGCCCCCACCGGAGGCAAGCAGGGAGGGAGCGGTGTGGGTGGAGGTGGGAGCGGACAGTGGCCCGTGTCCTAGAGGAACCTGCGGGTCCTTAGGCTACTGGAGAGGAGGGCCAACAGGAGGAGGTCGGACCCAGGGGTAGATGGGACTGAGCCAGGCGGCTTAGCCCTGGGCGGGACCGGCTTCCCTTCCCCAAGGGCGTTCTATGGTCAAAGGCAGCAGGCACAGGGAGACTCGGGGCTAACCCGGTGCAAGGTCCTCCCTCTTAACCCCGAAGAGCAAAGTAGGTGACAGGCGGCAGGGCGAGGAAGTCCTCTGGAGCTTTGTACATTTGCCTGCCATGGTCCACACCAATGAAGACGGGTGCCCCGAGTGCCCCAGGGGAAGGGTCTCCACCTCAGGTAGGATGAGAGGTGGCCCCATCGAGTGCAGAAGCCAGTTTTCGTCCTCTGCTGCCCCCTGGCGGGCAGGTGGAGCCGCACAGGGCGGGGCTCTTGGGGCGGAAGCGCGGTCGGCCGGAGCCCGCGGGAGGAGGCATGGAGGGAGGTGCCTCGGGCAGATGGCTAGGGAGCTTCCCGGTTGGCTCAAGCACTGCCGGCCTAGGGTGCCCACCAGAGACCAGGCGGGCCCCGGCCTGTTGGCCAGGGGGCGCGGCGGCGGCCCTACTCCTCCGGGGGCGCGGGCGGCGGGTGGTCGGCGCAGAGCTG